CCCCCCCTCAAAACTGCGGGCAACAACAACGCGCAAGACCGGTTTACTCGTCCTGCGTAATTGCGGGGCGGGGCGGGCACCGGAAAGGAGTCTTTAGGGGCAGAGGGACCGGCGAAGTAATGCCAATAGCAGTTCCCGCGGCCACCCTTTTTCACCCTTCTTAGGCATTCCCCAGGAGATTTAGCGGGTAAGACCTCCCCACTATGTGGAGGGGTGAGTCTCCCTATGGATTCCGAAAATACATAAAGCATTTCTCCTTGGTTAACCAAAGAAAAAAAAAGAAAAAAAAGAGAGTCAAAGATCCCTCCATGTCCCTACCTTATCGTGGTGGAGGTGTATCAGTTGATCTGAAAACTCGGTGGCAGTACCTTCCGACTTTGTCAGAGGGGTGGCCCATACCTGAGGATCACTGGCGAACGGCGGTTTAAGGGAAGGAAAATCCCAACAGAAAACCGTACAGTGGGGGGTAGCAGTCTTTGCCCTGCTATCAGGTGACCTGATTCGCCCACCGGAGAAACCGGTGCGCGACGAAATCCCGCCACTGCAGGGGTGGTCAGGTTCTTTTTGCCAGCACGTCAACCGGCACTCTTATGCGGCTGTGAGCGCATCGCCGCTGATGTCTCCCCAGGTCCGACTGAGGCGTGTGAGTGAATAGGTGATTAAATGAGATGCTAGTCTCCTGGAAGATATTCTTTGAAGACTATCCCAAAGGAAAGTAGTAGCCCCACGACGCTGGCTAGAAGTTGTTAAGTACCTGACCCCTGCGGCATACTAAGGGTAACCGTAACTCCCGGGCAAAAATCCCAGGACAGTGCATGTTTAACGTGGGAAGAACCGTCACCTTCAAGTCAGCGAGTTAAGACAAGGGTTGGAGTCTGGGCCCATGTTTGAAGGATGTATGAAAGATGTATGAAGGACCATCCAACCATCCAGTATTTCCTTATTTTCGGCATTTGTTAGGAATAAATCCACATATCGTCTATCCTTGAGTTTGGAAGAGCGGCCGGTCAGATCGGTGCGCGTCCTTTCTTGGGAGTGACGTAAAACCTTTAACATCATTTATGGCGCGGGTCTATCCCGTAACATTTTTTAGTAGAATCACTTTTTGCACGGATAGGGGTGGCTTCCTGATAAACCGCTTCTCGGTTTCCGTGCAACGTAACTAGGAATGTTTTCTTACCGGGAAAAGGGATCCACTGCGCGTAGATCCGCTATGATGGCCGAACCGGATTATTAAATCTATTCAACATGGTTTATTGTAATTTGAATACACCTCTACAGGCCTCTGTAGAAGCTTTGACGGAACAGGCTCTGGTGAGGCCAAACCCTTAAGATTCCTGTTCCGTTTAGGGACGTGAGGGTCCTTCTGATGGGTGGCCCTCAGGAAAAGAAAAACAGGGCGCCAAGATGCCTACAACTTCTCCCAAAGAAAGTATGCCCTTGTTAAAAAACCTGCATTCCCCTCCACCAAGGCGACAAGATCAGTCATCAGGAAAGAGGTGGGCGCCGTTGTTAGGGCGCCGGGAACGCCCTCCGAGACAGGGAGGGGCATAACATCCGCTCCAGCTGCAAATTTGGGGGCCGGATACCAGGCCCCCAGACTAGTTAAGCGGTCGAGGGAGGAAACCGCGGGTTCCCGGGATCATAGTGGTGCGGTCTCCCCAGCCGAAAAGGCCCTTCGCCCTACCTCACCCTATGCGCATGGAGCCAAGTACAGAAGAGGGATCTGCCCTTCCTTTGTCCCCATTCCTCCGAAAGTGAGGCCGATCTTCAACAACCAGCCTTGGGGTGGTGATCAAGGGGAGGAACGAGGAGGCTGCGCGAGCCTGGCGGGAACAAGAGACACACCGCCTGAAGCAGGAGATCGCGACGGTCATCAGTCGCGGTCTCCTGGAGGCGGTTAAGGAGAAAGACCACATGGCTGCTGTTCCCGAAATGGCCGTTGATGGCCTCCAATTTGCGACCGTCATCGACTTAGCGGCGGGCGTTGGGACGCCTCTTTGCTGGGCACTTTTGTCGGCGCCTTTAACCGAGCGGTGGCCAGCGTCCAGTTGGCCATGACAGCCATGGCCACCCGGCTGAGGGCGGCCGAAGGCGAGCCTTCTTTTTTCTCGAAGAAGTTACGGGATCTCCGGGAGGACTTGGCGGTCTTCCGCGCGAAGAAAATAGTTTTTGACAATAGGCCTTAACAAGTTTAGGCGGGTGCGAACACCCGCCCCGCCACAGGCAGCTCCTTCTTCGTTTCTGCGCTTCTACGCCGCTGTGGAGAAAGCGGCGTTGAGCGGGAGAGGGGAGTCTCTCCCCTCCTCTCCCTCCTCTAAAGGAAAGAATGAGGTCCTCTGGACAAGGCCGGCGCGGGAGGAAATTTACTTTCTCCTCTTCTTCTTCCGCCTTCTTTTCAATGGAGGAGGTTTGTATCGACCCCTCCAGGGAGGACCTCCCGGCGGTGAGACCTCTTTTTAAAGGGGTGTCCAAAAAGTTGAACACCCACGTAGGGATCCCTCTTTTTTTGTTAAGACAGAAGAAATGCGTTACGCACGCCCGCAGGAGGTCAGAGAACTGCCCCCAGCGGGCAGTGTGCGACTCTACCTTTCCCGTAAAATCAGGAAGGGGTATGTTCACAAAAACCTCTGTCGATGTTTAGTCCTCGGCGGTTTTATCAGGACGCCTAGGGTAACTGCTCTCGCATTTCGTCCGGGGCGCACGTAGGGACCCCGTCCATACGCGAGGCAAAGTACAATTGAATGACCGATAAGATACTCTGCCTCGTTGACGCCCGGGCGGCAATGGAAATCGGAAGACCGTTCACATCTATGACGACAGGGTGAGAGGTTCCTCTGCCTCCTCCTCCCTATTTGTCTCGTTTCCCTACATCCTCAAGGGCCGCTGTCTGTTTAGCACCGTCCTCCGTTGAGAGTAAGGATGGAGGGAGAAGGAAGAAGAAGAAAAAGTCCTTGAAGGTCATAGACCCCGCTCCTTCTCAACTCTCCAAATATGTGTCGGGGTTTG